AAGTGCTATTGCTATTGCTATTTTCTTGCTTAATTTCATTCATTATTTATTGCTGTGCCCAATGTTTCACACTGTTATCTTTAATGCAGCTAGTCCCCAACATACAAAGTTACAATGGCACTGAAAAACGTGATTTATGATCATTTTTCACCCTTACGTCAGTTGCAGCATTCTCATGGTCACATGATCAAAATTCAGATGCTTGTCAACTGGCTTATATTTATGACAGTATCCCAGGGTCATGTGATCACCTTTTGTGATCTTCTGACAAACAAAGTGAACGGAGAGCCAGATTCATTTAACAACCATATTATTAATAACTACAATAATTCACTTAACAACAGTGGCAAGAAAGGTCATAAAATGTGGCAAAACATACTTAATAAATGTCTCACTTAGCAATGTAAATTTTGGGCTCAATTATGGTTGTAACTACCTGTAATTGTAGACATGACCAGATGTACCCACAGATATTGACTACTACTGCATGTTAATTTTTCATGGAGACTTCAACGTTGGCCCCTCTTCTAGGGATCTGTCCATGCACCCAAATTGCTTCAGCAGTTTGGGTAACATTCCTAAGAAGTCCTACAAATGCAAGGACAATCAGAGAAGAGAAAAGAGAAGTCCCATTGCACGAATGGATACTGAGTCACATAAATTATTCACAGAAAAATACAAAAATATTCATATAAAATAAACAATAGTCATAAAATAATCCAGGCAAATATCAAATTACAAAACTAGAATAAAACAAACAAATCACCCAGAAAATGTTGCCTAAGAAAGCTTAAGAAAACAACTAACTATTTGATGGTGTCATGCCCCAGCATATAATTCTTATATACTGTTGTTGCTCTCTAGCCCCATCAAGTGGCTGGAGGGACAAATACCAAGTATATTGTTTGAAGCTGACCCCAACCCATAACCCATCAGCCTGCACTCTCAAAACATGTGCATGCTGGGAAGCCAGACTCCATTTCCTTTAGCATTTGGAGAAGGCAGAAGCACAAAGAAGAATCCATCTTAATCTGTGGCATATGGTCATCCAAGGACAAACCCACATCTCACACATAGAGCATCATTGGTGAGATTTAAATTGCTTGTATTTATTAATTGTTATGTTCTGCAGTTACTTAATACTGTCTATCTTGTATTTGGTTCTCATTGTATGTATTCCTATTTTCCCCAATTTCACCATATCCTGTTCTTTTAATAAAGCATTCAGATCTACGCACAGTCTGTTTTATTGAAGGATAGGTAGTTTTATCTGCATGTTGAGCTGCACACAGACTAATATATAGTGAGGACAGAACAGATGGAAACCAAAAATATTTATTTAAAATTCTAATCGTGAATGGATTAACAATATAATAAGTAAAATATGCCAAATGAAGTTTCCTCATGAGTGGGTCATTTCATGTTTGAGATGCAACATTTGATCAATTGTTCTTACCAGCTTTTCTTCACTTCAGAAGTCTGGAACACATGAAGGGAAGCCTCTGGCCATTACTGTAAGAATCAAGGAGATTTTAATTCATATAAAGTGTTGATTCTTCAGATATAGAGATCTGAATACTTTATTTATAAATTTAATTCATGTAAAGCTGAGCCTCCAAATGTTAACCCCCTAAGTCCTTCCCTGGTTACAGACTGCAAAGAATAGTAGTAACATTTTAATGGGTTTGGAAAGGGTCAAGACCCAGTGGGGGTTATTAAATGGCACATTCCCATTGCTGAATAGCAACTCTGTTCTGAACCTCCTAAGGCAACACGCAATGTCAGCCTCTGAGAACTATGGAAGCGTCATTCATCCAAAGCATGTTATTGTTACAGCAGAACTCAGAGAAAATGTTCTATTAAGGTATACAACAAAGACATCCTATGAGGATGGAAAATGGGTAACAATGTTATGGCATATAAAGTAAGTGGAAAATAATTTGTAATTTACTTCTTTCACATAGTCAAAACAAACACTATGAATCCCAAATTACTCATGAATAATCGTAGCACTTTTACAGATGCCTAAAACAAACTTACCTATCACCTAAAGAATAGTTTGTATAAAAAACAGCTTTGTGTGTTTGTTTTTTGCAAATTCCAAAAGCTGGCTTGTTATTGCTTTCAGCTTAAACATCTTCACTCTTGTTGAATAGACTGAAGAAATGCAAGAATTACAGGTAGACAAGTACCAGAAGAAAACAAGAACAGCTACGTTTATTCACTGTAGTGATTAGAGTGCCAGACCTGGACCAGGGATGGTGTAATGATAAGCTCTCCAAGTCAAGCTATACGCAGTGGCATCATTGACGTAATCATATTACTTCCATGGTAGCATTATGAAAATTGTTTACAATTCCTTTCATCATTAAAATACTTTTTTTTTTAGTTCACAGTCTACTTTATAACTTTATAACCATAGGATTTCCTGGTATTTCCCATTCAGACACTATTTCTTCACTAGAATAGAACAACGGAGTTGGAAGGGACCTTGGAGGTCTTCTAGTCCAACCCCCTGGTCAGGCAGGAAACCCTATACCATTTCAGACAAATGGTTGACCAATCCCTTCTTAAAACTTCCAGTGTTGGTGCATCCTCAACTTCGGGAGGCAAGTTGTTCCACTGATTAATTGTTCTGCCAGGTTCTAGGCTGCTTCTCTCTTTGATTACTTTCCATCCATTCCTTCTCCTGCCGCCTTCAGGTGCTTTGGAGAAGAGGTTGATCCCATCTTCTTTGTGGCAACCCCTGAGATATTGGAAGACTGCTATCATGTCATCTGTAGTGCTTCTTTATCCCTGCACATCTTGATTAAGCTCAATTAAGATTGGCCAGATGCTGTCACTTAACCAATTCAAAATCCCATTCAGGCCTGAAGTTAATTTTGACTTTGAAGTTTGACTTCCAAATATGACTTTGAAAGCTTATCCTTTTTCAGCTGATTCTAAATTATTGAGACAAAAGGTGTACCATCTATGTCTTGATCTCCAAGGCCAGGCAAATGAAACTTCAAAACTAAGCAATCATTCAATTATATTATATATAACAACAGAAATTAACCCTGTGGCAATATTAAATCATTTTTAGTTTGGTTGTACATCTATATCCTTCCCTAGGCATTTTGGAATATCTACACATTGGCATCACCCACCTCCTCAGGCGTCAATAAGGCAAAATCCACAATTATATAGAAAGTTCAACTCACATTCAAATGAATTTATACAGAACTCCCCTTCAGATTTCCTTCCCCCTTTTGTCCTATCATAAACATTCTAGCCTCTTATTCAGCCCATAGGCAGTTCAGAGAATTTACCCTAGCAACCATTTTCTGATAAAATACAAACTCCTCTATTCTAGATTTCTGTTTTTCAGTTTTCTTTTCTGGGAATGGCCTCGGGGCCTTCTCATAAGGCTCAAATATTTCCTATGAATGCCACTGCAAACAGCATTGTTTATACAAATGGCCAAAGAAAATACATAGTTCCTTTCTGTCTCCAGATCAGTGTTAGTATTTGGCCTTCATGGCTCAAGAAAAAACATAGATGCTGATGATCCTGCAAAATTTTGTTAAGCAAAAATGAAAAAGATGACCCTGTAAGTATTTTTATACAATAAGTTCCTTCTCTCTGATACACGTTCCAAAATAGCCAGAAAAGGAACTCCTTTTTGAGGAATAATTCTCTGAATGTTCAATCATGTTTGCACAATGAACAAATGAACAGGTTTTGATAAATTTGCTATTAGCACAGGGTTATTCTGTCACTGGGCAAAAGTATCCTGGACTAGGAAGAGGTGGCATAAACACAGTTATTTCCTGGCCATTCCTTCCGAGCCCTGCTCCATCAAAGTGGGATCAATGCAATCGATTCCTTGTGATAAATGCAGAAAGAAGTGGGATAAATCGTGTATAACTCTTATGAAAAATATCAACTTTTTTTTTTCCTGGATCAAACATCTTCTTTGGCTTTGTGGAAAATGTATAGGTGAACTAGTAAGATGATGCTTATTTATCTACTAATTTTAAATCAAATTGGTTCCTTTGAAACCAATTTTGGGAACACTTAAGGCCACTTTAATTGGAGGGACTCCATTTGCCCCTTGCTATGGGAAGCAAATTTGGGGATCTGTCTTCGTGTGTTAAGTAAGAAGCACTTTGAACATCATGAATTACAGTTCATTACACAGTCTGCCAGATGTTTAGACTGGATTTGGCATTTTTATTCACCTATCAAGTTCTTTCCAAGGACTTGGGATAATCAGATGTTGCTATGGTTGATGGTGTTAAAAGGTATTGTCGCAGAATGTGAGCTGTTCTGAGTAAAGCTGCCCTCTGCAATTCACTGGTGGTGATTTTGTCAATGCCAATGGTTTTCAAGGGCTGCTCCAGTTTTTTTAGGGTTGCACCCAAAGCACCGGTTATTATTGGTACTATTTTTGCTTTCTTTTGCCACAGCCATTCTACTTCTACGTGCAGGTCACTGTATTTTGAGATTTTCTTCAGTTCTTTCTCTTTTCTTCTGATGTCTCCAGATATTACTATTTTTATTACTTCAAAGAAAGTCAAGAATAAAAATATCAGAAAGGGGAAAACTTCAACACTTCAAAGAAAAATACACCAAGGGTACTTCCTGAGAAATTAGCCCTTATATATTTTCCACTGCAAGCAAAAACAATAGTTAATGAGTGGACTGAAAGAGAAAGAAAAATGTTATTGTGATCATTAACCAGCAGAGAGAATGAGAAAGAAACAGTTTCCATTGAAGAGTGCTTTCAGAACCATTCTGCCTTCCTGCATATGTTTTTGTTTTTTTGCTTTTTTTAAAAAAAATTGGGGCTAATTTCTCGTCTGTGACGTTCACTTCAATGCAATCAGGAAACCAATAGCCCATCTGCAATATAAGGGCAACCTTTAGTGTCCTTTGATCAGAAATTCATCTTTCCTACCTTTGTCTGAATCTCTTGTGCAAACCAGGTGAATCCAACACCCCCATTCAAAGCCAGTCCAATTGGCGAGGGGCTGAGGGGGCCGGAGGACTCCCTTTTCTCTCGGATGCCAGGATGACTCTCGTCCTGCTTTTCTGCACTCTTGCTTTCATTCTGCAGGTGACCAATGGTAAGATAGGGCAGGTAGAGTTCTTTCTATACCATGAGGGCAGGGGAGGAGGGGAAAGAAAATCTGCATTAATTGTTTTGTATCAGTTCCTTGCATTTGAGCCCTTGTTGCCTAATATGCTATTATCTAGCTACGGCTTCCATGTTTTAAAGCCAAACACAGATTGTCCCCCCCCCCCCCCCGAGTCTTCTTTCAGACTCCTTTATCTTGTTTGGGCTCAGAGCTGAGTTATTTTCATGCCTTTTGTTTTGCGTTGCATCAATAATCTTCCTGCAGCCAGAAATATACCTTTATTTAACAGGAGAGAAGTACAGGGTGTGGGGTGAGGAAGGCACACGGGTGACCCTTCCTTGCTACCTGAGTCCCCAGACGGTGAAAGACAACTTGAGGCACCTGTACAAAGGATTAGAGGTTTACTGGGTGCGGCATGGAGGCAGGTAAGACAAAATGACCCCGTTTTATTTAGTTTGGAATGGAGGGCCGAGTGGATTAGTGGCACTTCTGTTTAATGTTCCACTTTTTCCTTTCCCCATTTCCCTTCCCTTTTTTCTTTGTGAGCAGTTCTTCCATGAAACGTCATTTGGTGCTCGAGGTGAAGCCCAGTGGGCTTAAGAGTCTGTCCCATTCCATGATGCGCCGAGTAACTGTCTGGGACACTGGCTTTCTTAAGGGGAATTTTTCACTCCAGATTAAGCCTTTGCTGATGGAAGATGCAGGAACCTATGAGGCACGAGTGAGACGTGGGAAAGAGGACTGGCACTGCCTGGTGGAGCTTGGTGTGGTGTCAGGTAGGTGGATGGGATAGTTGCTCAAAGATAAAAGTAACCCTCTCCGAGGGGAATGGAGACTCTTACAAAGATGAAGCCTGAATCTGGATCTGGCTGGAAACCTTTAAAAGCTTGGATTCTTGGATGCTAAGAATCCTTGGATGCTAAGCAAACAGCAATTGTGAAGCCGCATGCATCTATGGGATTCAACATTTCAAAGTGATTCATGTCCCCCATTGAATAGAAGCAGTAAGGTAACTAAGACTATGAAGAACATGAAAGTCCCCACCATCTTTACCTTGTTATGTTCAGCATTTTTTTTTCCTGTAAGAGCTATCCATTTAACAGTATCAAAACTGGGCTGGTAGAGTGCCTGACAATCAATATATCAATAGTCCCATAGGCTAGGGATCAAAGTGTCTATGAATATTACTACACAATTTTCCTTTTCTTAACAGTCACTGCTCACCCTTCTCGTCCTCTAATTGAGTCTGAATCGGTCAGGCTAAACTGCAACTCCAGCCACCCAGGAAATCCTACCAACATCCTCTGGTTCCACAGAAATGTCCTCGTTCGCACCTCCTACAGGCTTCATCCTATGGGTCAAACCCTGCTTATCACTGAATCAGTCAGTAGTGACACCGGGCACTGGGTTTGCCAACTCACCTTTGCAGATGGAGAGATAATTGCAGTCAGACACAACTTGCAAGTTATAGGTGAGATCCATCTTCTCATCTCATCTTCCCTTTTCTCACGTTTCTTCTCCTTGGGCGAGTGGGGAAGAAACAGCATCAGTAAAAACATGCTTATTTCTCTCTCTTTCTTAGTGTGCTTGAATGAGTCAGAAAGACCATTGTGCACTGAATTCTAGCTATCACTCATTTTTGCACCTTCTGGTATCCCACCACTAAAAAAAGTGTGTTATTTTTATTATCTCCTCTATAGGATTTACTGAGCAAGCCCACTCTGTCATCTATATAGCAGCTGGATCTGATGCTCATTTGCCCTGTGTCCTGAATTCCAATCCCAGGAAATATGGAATTTCAGGGGTGGCCATCCAATGGGGATACATGGCAGGGAGAGAACTGAAGGCCAAGCCCACTTCCAGTTATGAAAACCGTCAAGATTTCACTCTTCATCTCCCATCTGTTGGATTAAATGATGCAGGCCAGTATCTCTGCAAGATCACCATCCAAGGGGTTACTATAATTCAGAATGTCACTCTGGCAGTGATGGCAGGTGAGGAACAAACTTGTAGCAGGGCCTTTCTTCTTTTAAGGGATTTCCCCTGAAAGTTAGGGAAACATAATCCATCCTACCTCCCAGGACCCTGAAAGAAATTTGAACTGGAAGCATGGAACACCAGAATACTTACCACTTCGGGATAATTGAATAGGCTGTCTCCTATCATTCCCAGCTATTAACCAGACTATCTGGAAAGATGGAATTGATGGCCAATGTATCCAGAGAGTAATAGGTGAGGCAAGCAGATCAAAAGACTTGTAGACTTAAACTCTGTCAGAATAGTTATAGAACAAAACTCTTCACCTTTTTCTCTCATGGACTATTCTGAGAGTTGAGTGAGACCTAGAGTTCTTCTCAGAAAGATGTATTTTAATGCATGAAATAAAATACATAGTTATGGAGGGAAACCAATTATGCTCAAATGCAGGTATCAAAAGATTAAAAACAACAGATACATAATAATATAGCAGTACATATACTTTATTACTCCATTAAATGAATAACACAATATTCTTTTTAAAGGTATAATCATTTTAGATAGTTGGATTTATTGATGTTAACAGTTTTGGAGTCTATGGGCAATACATTACTTTGTTGCCTATATACATTATGACATGACAAACTAAAATTTAGCTGAAGATCAGTTATATTTTTTTCATATAAATTCATTGATCTGAAATCTATCCACAGATTCTATAATTTTGCTCCAGAGTTATATAGTAAAGAGCTTCCCTTAAACTTTTTAAAATGCTTGCATTGTTCACCACATTATAAAAAAGATGTTGAGAAAAAGTGCAGAGAAGAGCAACCAGGATGATTAGGGGACTGGAGATTAAAACATACAAAGAACGGTTACAGGAACTGGGCTTGGGTAGTCCAGTAAAGAGAAGGACCAAGGGAGACATGATAGCAGTCTTCCAATATTTGAGGGGCTGCCACAGAAAGGAAGGGGTGAAGCTATTTTCTAAAGCTCCTGTAGGCCAGACAAGGAATAATGGATGGAAACTGAACAAGGGCAGATTGAACCTGGAAATAAGGAGAAACTTTCTGAAGTGAGAACAACCAACCAATAGAACAGCTTTCCCTTGGAAGTTGTGGGAGCGCCGTCAGTTGAGACTTTCAAGAAGAGATTGGACTGCCATTTGTCAGAAATGGTGTAGGGTCTCCCCCTTGGGCGGCAGGTTGGACTAGATGACCTACAAGGTCCCTTCCAACTGTGAGTTCTAATCCTACCTTTGGCAGAAGCCGGCTCAGTGACTTTGGGCCAATCATTTTGTCTCAGCCCTAGGAAGGAGGCAATGGCAAACCACTTGTGAAAAACTTTGCCAAGAAACTTATCCAGGCTATTTCTGAGAATCAGACAGAACTGAACCAGGAGCGGGAGGGGCGGGGCGGGGGGGGGGGGAGAACAGGAAGGATTGCTTATCCAGAGAAAAAAAATTGCAGGTTGATATTCTATGATTATTTATCTGAGACTCAACCACAATGAATGGAAACTCTGACATATTTGGTGGTACTGAGCCTGGTGGTGGGCAGGCATGATGCTGGGTTGTTTTCACACACTTCTAAATTCGTGCCTTACCCTCTCCTTTGCACGTAGAGCTTTCAGTTCTGTAGAAGTTAATACCTATGATTCCAGTTTTCTAGTTACTTTTACTAGAAACATTACTACTTTTTAAATGTTTGCCTGGCTTGATTTTTTTTCTGCTTCTGGGAAAATGGGTTTTGAGGATGGAGTTGAGAAAGAGAGTTCTCACAGGAGACTTAAATCTCGCAGGAGACTGTGAGTTCTAGTTTTGCTTTAGGCGTGAAAGCCATCTGGGTGACTTTGGGCTGCCAGTCATTCTTTCTCAGCCAGTCAGGGTCAAGGGACAAGCCAATCAGTCAATTTCTTGCACAACCAATGCATAGCAATAACAATAGCGCTTAGACTTATATACCCCCCCACAGTGCTTTATAGCACTCTATGGATGGTTTACAGAATCAGCATATTGCACCCAACAATCTGGGTCCTCATTTTATTGACTTCAGAAGGATGGAAAGTTGAGTCAACCTCGAGTCTCGTCAGGATCAAACTCCAGACTGTGGGCAGAGTTAGCCTGCAAAACTGCATTCTAAGCACTTCTTTTAATCAATTTTTTAAAAAGCACGTCCTGCACTTGCAGGAAAAACGTTAGGAACAAAAAAAATTTGAACAATAAAATAATAACTATAGAAGTCCAAGAGAAATTAAAGAGAATTACAGACATCAAAATAATGGCCATTCATAAATGGATGAATGAGTCCCACAGGGTTCCACTTGCCTCCTAGGATGTTGAAAATGTTCATATTATTGGGAAGGTTCATGATATCGTCTAGAGCAGTGGCCCCCAACCTTTTGGGCACCAGGAACCAGTTCCATGGAGAAAGGTTTTTCCACGGACCAGAGGGCATGTGGTTGTGTGCTGCCTGCATCCTATGGATGGAGCTTTGCTTGTTTATGCGGCCCAGTTGCTGGCAGGAGTTGGAGGAGAGTTTCACCAGTATGCTGTTGACATCTAGCATACTTCTACTCCATATCATCAAGGAAGAACGTGATATTAAACCAGATAGGGTGAACAACCTGAAACTAAATTCAGACAGCCAGTGTAGTGTGGTAGCTACAAAGTTGGGCTAGGACTGAAGAGATCCAGGTTCAAATCTGTTCTTAGTTATAGACAGGGGTGGGATTCTACCAGTTTGCACCTATTCGCTAGAACTGGTTAACATTCTAAGTGGTTTGGAGAACCGGTTGTTAGAAGAAATTATTGGCCTAATCCTGTAAGGAAGGAAGGAAGGAAACATTCTGGTGTTGCTTACAGAAACTGCTTCTCCGTTAACCCTTAACCTCTTGGCAGGACTAATCTTCCTGTCTCAGAAACTTCTCTGGAGTTTTTTTCCCTTCCTTTGCTGGTACTTTGCTTGTGTGGAGTGATCAAAGTTACAATGGCACTGAAAAAAGTGACTTATGACCATTTTTCACACTTACGACTGTTGCATCCCCACAGTCATGAGAAGCCAGGTGAGGAGATGCGTGCCTCGATGTGAGTGATATTGAGTCATGCCAATAACATGACCACCAAGCCGTGCCCATCACCTAAGCCACACCCACAGAACAGATTGTTAAAAAATTGAATCCTACCCCTGGCTATAGAAGCTTATTTTATGGCTTTAGACTAGTCATTCTTCCTCAGTCTAACTTAGGGTTGTTGAGTATGGGAATAATACATAATAGTATAATTCTTTACATAGACCCAGGTCTCAGTGTTGCAGTTTGAGTAATTTAACTTAATGCTGTAGGAGGAAGGTGAGAGGGAGAGGGGATTAGTGATTTCTGTTTCCTTGCTTTCTTTCAGTTATTACCAGCACTGTTGGGCCAAGAATTCCTGAAGGTTCTCACTTGGTCCTCATCTGTAACCTCAGCTACTGCACAGGAAAAGAGCATTTTCAATGGAAGTGGCTGGACTTGGAATCCAGCAACAGCTCTCAGTCTGATTCCAGTAGGCCCGTGAAATGGGGCCCAATCCAGGAATTCCACCAGGTGTCATCAAGGGATGCAGGCATCTGGGAATGCAGCGCCCACGGTCCAGAGGGGAAGCTGGGATCGGTGCAGTATCACCTGGAAATTGCAGGTATTCTTTGTTTCTTTAATTGCAGAAATGCATATTTCACTCTAAATTATATGGATCACAACAGCTCACATGTTTATGCTTGACAAGAGAGTAAAAACTTCAGCATGGGGCCAGCTTAACAGAAGCTTGGAGAAAATAGTAACTTCTTCTGGTATTATGCATTCCAAGAAGTTGTTTGGAAACAGCATTCAAAAGTAACCCCCACCTCTCCCTACCAGCTACCCTAATTCAGATAGCAAAAAGATTGAAAGATCTCCTATGAAGCTCAGAAACCACAGAAAAGTACAAATAGAATAGAATTCTCTATTGGCCAAGGGTGATTGGACACACAAGGAATTTGTCTTGGTGCAAATACTCTCACTATACATAAAAGAAAAAAATACATTCATCAAGAATCATAAGGTACAACACTTAGTGATAGTCATAGGGTACAATAATCAAATAATCAAATTGCAGGTCATAGGGTACAATAATCAAATCATACTAGGAATCAGTCAATATAAATCGTAAGGATACAAGCGATAAAAGTTACAGTCATACAGTCACAAGTGGGAGGGGATGGGCGATAAGGAGTTATGAGAAGATTAATAGTAATAGTAGTGCAGACTTTGTAAACAGTTGAACAGTGTTGAGGGAATTATTTGTTTAGCAGAGTGATGGCTTTCGGGAAAAAACTGTCCTTGTGTCTAGTTGTTCTGGTGTGCAGTGCTCTATAGCGTCGTTTTGAGGGAAGGAGTTGAAACAGTTTACGTCTGGGATGAGGGGTCTGTAAATATTTTTGACTCGTGCAGAATACAGATCCTCGATTGAAGGCAGGTTGGTAGTAATTGTTTTTTTCTGCAGTCCTAATTATCCTCTGTGTCTGTCCTGTTGGGTTGCAGAACCAAACCAGACAGTGACAGAGGTGCAGATGACAGACTCAATAATTCCTCTGTAGAACCGGAGACCCAGGCTTTGAAGGCAAGCCCACAAACTGGGCTTGAAAACAAACAAGAACGTAGCGCAGTGGCCCCTGCGCACAAGATCATATCGCCCAGTTCCCTCAGTCTTACACCCTGCTTTTGAATTAGCAGAGTTTCCCGGTTACCCCCCAGAAGAAGCAGGTTCGGATCTAACGTCCTGCAATAGTCTGACCCAGACGACACAAGTGCAGCCTATCCCTGAGCCCCACAGAGAAATTCTACCGCAAGATTTCCCAGTCTTGCTGGGCTGGCAGACGCTTCTTCAAGCGGGGAACGTGACCTGGACGGGTTCCAGCCACGAACCGCTGACGTCATCCCTACCCCGGTCGGTGCTCGGTCCGCAACCTTTCTCCGAAACAAAGCTCGGAGCCTTTTCCCCCAACCCGGCCAGGCAAAGCCATCGCCTCGGCAGGTGACTAAGGAGGGCGAGCTAGATCGTCCGGCGCTGGTGGCGGCCTCGCCTCCGCTTTATGCGCCCAGCCACCGGTGGAAAAGGGAGAAGAGAGAGAGAGAGGCCGCGGCTCGTGCAGCCGCAGCCCCAAGCCCCGCCTCGGCTCTTTCACTTGCGGGAGCCGCCGACGAGAGGAACGGAAACAACCGCTGCAGCAGCAGCTTCCCTCGCTGCTCGCCCCAAAGGGAGGAGCGAAGTGGGGCCAGGATGGGGTAGCTGGCTGGAACCACATCGCCCCAGCGCTGGATGGGCCCTGGCGCCTTCCCAACATACGCCGGGCGGGGCCGCTGTCAATTTCTTCGACGCTCCTTCCTCTCCCGCTGAAACAAAGGAGAGCCGGGAAGAGGGCTGGAGAGCAACGCCGCCGTTCCCTTTATTTCCCCCTCACACGCTTCATGCTCGGGCTTCGGGAGAACAAAGCCCCCCGCGCGAAGGCGGAGGGGGAGAAATCCTGAGCTCATTTCCTTTTCAGGCGGGGACCCGGGCGGAGGGTGGGGAGGGGAACAATTCTGTCGCCTTGGAAATTGGAGCTCGACTCCCTGCCTTCAAAGGTACTGAATTGCACTGCTCTTCCCCATTGGCCAGCCTGGATAAAACTATTGGGAGTTGCAATTCAGCAGCATCTACTGGCCTGAGAGTATAGATGACAATGACCTTGTTAAAATTAAGCGATCCAATTACTACTTCTTGTCCGACTCAAACCCCAGTGAAGCTTTTGTTTTTATTGGGGGGGATTAAGTGTCACACACAATCTGACGGTTCCAACAACAGGCCCCCAAAGTGACTTGGGACAGACATTGCATTCAATTTATTCAGCAGATTAGCTACCCACCACTGAGATATCCAGTCTACTGGGTTCAACCCATAGTTTGTTACACAGTCTATTAACTGTTCAAGACAATTTGTTATAAATTGTCTCCCTTGCTTTCAACGTAAGAAGGAGTAGTTGGCATCTGATTATTAATTGCATATTGTTTCAAGTCTCTGGGTGATCTCCCTTAAAAATTTTACGCAGAGATTGAAAAGCACAGCTAGGCTAAACCTTGTGGTGCCTCAGCTGTGGGCTTGTAGATTGGAATGGTGGTGTCATAAAATTCAGACCGTCTACTCAGAAAAGTGCAGTGGTTAAAGGGACTGAAAGTTTCAGAGGCCCAGAAGAATTAATCAGTCTCTCCGCACTCATAAAGGCAACCAAAGCAGGCCTAAAGGATACCTGGAGTGCAACCAGACCTTTGATTTTAATCAATTCACTTACTGTTCCAAAATGATCTAGTTCTCTAGGCAGCCTTTAGTGATCCATAACTCCAGTTAGCATTTGAGGGCATCAAAGAGCACAGCAATAGCGATAAAGCGACTAAGGTAGCCGTGACTGAGATTTCTATCTTATTCTCTTAGTTTACACAGTGGAGCATTAATCTTATTTGTACCTTATTTTTTTCAAATCAAGTCACTAATTGCAGTTGATTTGGAAGGAAGGAGGATCCTAAGAGCCACAAAAGCAAAAAGTACAATTCTATAACCAGGAATATATCCGTATGTAATATCGTGAGACTTGTTGCTAAATAAACGGGACACAACTTTTATCTGGATATATATGGTACTTCTATATTTTGTTTTGTCCAACAAAACATTGTGACCATTCCCATCAAATTAAAAAACAGCTTTGCTCTCACCAGGATAATCTTAATTTGCTGACTACAAAATGTATGCAATTCAGTTCTGAATGGCATTGTTTACATCTCATCCAGTAGCTGCCATTTTACTACAAATAATTGAGTTCAGATAATTGATTTTCCATGTGATACAATATGCACCTACTAAGCTAAGATGGATTTTTGAGTTTATCAGTTTTTGATCCACTCTGTTTTCCCCCCAGTCTGATTTATTTAATATACTTTTGTCTTGCAGCCAGTGCCCAGCTTGCCAGCTTGCCCTCTGCACCAACTGAGACAATATTTGGCCTGTTACTATTTTTTCTTGTTGCCTTCCTCTCCATTATAACTTTGGTCTACCTGAGACGAAGGGTAAGTCATATCCACCACCCTTTTTTTTTTGCTGTTCTTGCCTATCTTTCTTTTTCTTTTCAAAATAGGTGGGAAACCAAATCATCAAGGTACAATGTGGTTAAAATCCCTCTCCTTTGTGGCCAAGGTCCTGCCTTTCTTTTGACCATCTGCTACCAACTCAATTACCCAGTGGGTAAATGTGATTGGGGTGTGCATAAGCACTATGGCACTTCAGCATTAGCTCTAGGTCCAGCAGAAGCTCTCCGTCATCTCCAAATGATGTGGACATAGTATGGTTTCTTTGTGATTACTCTTTTTCCCTGAAGAATGACTGATAAAGTTGTTACTAAAACAAGAGCCAGGATTGTAACAACAATTTCTTTTACCACTATTAATTTTTAGATGTATTCCCTGAACTTCCAAGCACTGGATAAGATTGTGGATGCTTTACCTGGGAAAGGAGAAAAGAATGGAAGCCAGAAGAAGACTTTACAATCGGAATGCTAAAGGAAAGGAAAACGAGGAAGAAGATTGCTTATATGAGAACTGCCAAGACTGGACAACTAGACCTATGAATAGATTTATGTTGGTTTGGGTCAAGGGTCAGTAAGTTTATGGTGTTTTAAACTGTGAGATAGATCTTCCTTGAAAACAGTGAAAGCTGAATGGACAGTAATCCATTGAGGGAGAGGATGTGCAGCCAATTTCTTCAAAGAAATCACATTTAAAATCTGCTGGATTTCTTAGAGATGATTTCTCTCCCTTTTAACTGCTTGGTAGTTTCTTATATGTTTTCCCCCCCTTTTGTGCAAGTTTAGGAAGTCTGGTTCATTTCTGCCCCTTTCTTAAGGTTATTGTTGCATGTCCTGATCCACGGATTTTTATACAAAATAATACAGGTATTCCTCAACATATGACCACAATTAGGACTGGGATTGCCATTTTAAGTTGGTATGTCATAAAGTGAGACATCAAGTGACCATGCCACCTGACAGCAGCAATCCCATCATTCTTTGTTGTGGTTGTTAATCAGGAATTGCAGGTAGCCATTTCAGTCCAAACCATTCCAAACGTTCTCCCTCCCAGCCCAGAAACTCAGTAAGAAAAGGGATTGTTTCCAACTCTCCACACCCACCTCTGTCTTTCCCGTCTGAGAATTTTGGCCCCCTGCCCACCTGCCTTGTAAAGTGGCAAGCAGTCCCAGAGCTACATGCCTGTGAGAGACTGCTTGCCATGACTCAGGCAGCTTCAGCTGCCCCAGCAAGTGCCAGCAAGTGCTCATTTGCCCAGCTAGCTTTTCTTTCCAGCTTCATTTCATTTCTTTGCAGAACCCAGTTGTTATTAACAACTTTTGTAAAAAGTTTGTAACCCACAGTTCTATAAACAGAAATAATTATCTCTGAAAGCTCAAATCTTTCAATAAAGTAATTTTGCTTAGACTTTAGAGACTGGTCTTTTAAAACGATTAATTTAAAACTAAGTAATTAAACTGCAAATAATAATTCATAGAATCTTAGGGCTGGCTGGAAGGAACCTTGTGGGTGTTCTAGGTCCAACCATCTGTTCAAGGCAGGGGTTCTTATATCAACTGAGACAAACGGTTGTCCAATCTGTTCTTGAAAACCTCTAGCGATGGAGTCCCCGCAACTCTGTGAGGCAAGCTGCTCCTTTGATTAATTGTTCTCACTGTCAGGTAATCCCTCGTTTCCGGGTTGAATCTCCCTCTGAAGATCTTCCACCCATTGCTTCTATTGGGAGGTATCTATCATGTCTCCCCTGAACCTTCTCTAGATTAGGTTAAACATGCCTAGTTCCTTAGCAATTGGCATTGTACAGTTTAGCCTCCAGACTCTTTATCGTTTTTGTTCTTCTCTGCACTCTTTCTAGGGCTTCAAGCATGATGATCCTCATAATCATAACTATCATTAACTTGTGTTAATACTGTCAACATCTGTGACATCTGTGGTCTATTTAAGTGATGTAGCCACAGGTGAAACAAGTTAAAAACTGCTAAAATTGTATTTGTTCCATATTTCAAATGTTGATGCTGCAGTGTTGTAATTTATTACAATTTACCAAGAAAGGCAACCTTTGATTGGTCTGCTTATGTTCTGATCAGTGATCCAGAGATTAAGAACCATTTAAGCACATAGCGATCATTAGTGGCACTATTAGATAATGGAACTCAAGAGTGCATGTCTGTCTTCCATTTCTGAATTGCACTCTGGATTGCCTTGAGTGCTGCCCTGCATTTGGGCTAAAGCATTTCAGGTTTTTTTTTTGCAGGCTAACGTCAGCAGCGGATTGGCTGCTTTGCAGAGAAAGGACTGCCCCTTCAGTCGAGCCAATGCTTGCCATGTATTCTAATAGGCTCTATATCTCCTTTTACTGCATCCATCACAGTGGGAGACTGCCTCTATCAACATTGTCTATGATAAAACACTTATTATTACAGTCCGAAATCAGACCATGAGTCATAAATATCTGAACAAACAACATTCAGACGAATAAAAAGGTGTTTAAAGACCTGTGTTCTGACAGACGAGCATTCAAAACGCACTGACAATGTCTCCTCGAATGGCGGTGAAATGTTTGCAACCAAATTGCCAAGCTCAGGGCTCAAACCAACAGCCTAACTACCAACCAGAGCTACTAATACACTCAAACACATTTCCGAATACAATTATGTTGAAATCCCACCAGCTCTCTAATGGGGTGGGACATCTGCACAATAAAGTGAGCATGGTGGGATGGCCAACGCACACAGGTTGCCATGTTTTGAGAGAATGACTTCCCTTGCTTTATCGCTGGTCTAATGCTGGTTGAAAAGATGATTACCAAATAGCAATTGGGCAGAATGGTGTAGTAACATGGTAAAACAGAGAGCTGACTGTCTTAAAACCCAGTGACTCCATGGTGAAAGAGGCAATTTTGAGAGACAGTTCTCCCACTTTATTGCACCAGCTCTCTCAACCTGCTGAACAAGTGGTGGATGGGCCTGTTTTAATTTAGGTGTAGTCCTTTTTCAAAACTCCATGAAAGTAGTTTGAAGGAGTATGTAACCTGTGCTCAAAACCTAAGCAGCTTCCCCACCCCTCTTAATAGCTTTAGGGAGCTGCCTACACAGCAGTGGTTGAAAATGGTGTCCACCTCTTTCCTATGAAGAGAAAAAGAACAAGATTGACGGGGCAAGAGGACACGGGGGATGGATCATACTCACCACACCAGTCTGAAGTGGCCATAGGCACTAGGCTGCTCCTGTTCATTCTTTGTGAAATATTTTGATGGATCTCAGCAATAGGACACCACAATTGTTGGCTGTCAGTTTATTCCTCCTACCTTCCGTTGATTTATCTGCAAGTTTGCTAAAGTGACACTGCCATCTAGAGTCTACAAAAAAAGAGCAAAAAAAGAAGATGATTTATCCATCCATCCCTCACATATGTGACATATATGTGATAAAACTGAGCTCTTTTCGATATTTTAATTATATTTGTATAAAACATGTTTATGTTTTCTTCCAGTGTTGATATTCGTGAGTTTATCCCTTTTTTATTCCTACAACACACTCCTTATACGGGACAACATGAATAGCAGAATAGTCCCCTACCACATAGGGGAACTATTCTGTCTTAATTTGGTCTCAAGGGTTTTGAGTGAAAAAGCTTTGCACAGTACTTATGGCTGCTCCTTAGGGACAATGGGGATGAAATTTAGAAAGAGAGATGATAGATGGATAGAAGATTAGATAGAAAGACAGACAAACAGACAGGCATACAGGCAGACACAGAAACATCCAAATCAATATTTAAGCATAATGCATGCTACATTCTTGAAAGCAACAGTGAAGCAGCATGTGCAAATTCTAGCAAAGATGATGGACAGCATTAATCCACATCACTCTCCAAGGCCAATCAGTCGCTCAGCAAGGATTCAAAATCTCTCTCCCAAGTCTTCCTTCCACATTCCTGAGCAGTCAGAGAGTAGACGAAATATTTCATTCTGGATCGTTTCATTACTGTATGGTCGTTTTCCAGCTTTATTGGGGTACTACATATGATTAGACCTTTTACATGATCTCATTAAAATTTATCTTTATCTCTCCTAAGAGCTAAAGCCCTTTCTCACTGGGTCAACTAGCACTGGTTCTAATTAACTTACTTGTCAAGGGTAATTCTACATTATTTCAGGTTTTCAATGAAAGAACTTATTTAATTTTTTAAAAAATCATCCGGGCATCAGACCATAAGCTGCTTGGAATTATCTTTTGTAAAATAGTAGTCATGTATGTTTCCAAACAGACAAGCTGAGGGACAATGCTTCAAAGAAATGCTAATTAAAGTTTTCCTCACAGACTGAATCAAGCCTCTTCAGAACAGCCAAACAAAGTAGGGGAAGCTCTGAAATCAGGACAGCTGATGAAAAGTATTGTATTTAATTGAGACTGTCATTTGTTCTTCTATAATTGTCTGGTTTGCACAGCAACCAAACAGGACAAGTACAGACTTTAACAGATAGTTAGGACTGCAGAAAAAAAAAAACAATTGTAGTCAGCATGCCTGGCATGAGCCAGAAAGTGGGCTGTGAAAATATCCACAGACCTCTCACATTCTAGTCATAAACTTCCCCTCTCAGGACTCCACTACAGGGCATTGCATGCCAAAAAATACTAGACACAAAGACACCACCACCATTCCATCACTCTTCTGAGCAACTAACTCCCAAATCACTGCCTTAAGCCTAAAGATATTTACCCATGTAGTAGGGCTGTATTGCTGTTATCCTTCTCATCGTTAATACTTAACTTCTTCTAATTGTATCTTATGATTTATCACTGGTTTGTAACTTATAATTTATGAGTGTAGCTTACGAATTATGATTTATGAATTGCCACATTGTTGTTTCTATGTTCACTGAGAGTTTATTCACTGGAGACAAATTCCTTGTGTTTCAAATCACACTTGGCCAATAAAAATATTCCAATGTTCCAATTTGGTAGGCTCAACTGTTGTTTGGTTGACCCCCTCATGGGTCAGTTGCAATTCTAATATTCTTTTCCAAAAGGAAATTAATTAAAAATATGCACAAAAACAAAATAAATATTTGTTATATAAAATAAAGCTACTGTTCTGAAAAATGGATTTAAATAGACAAATATTTGTTGTTAGGAGAGTTCAACTTCTTGTTTAACGATAGAATAGTATTTAGAAGGTTACCTGTAAGTATCTACATAAGCTGTGTCTCCACCAGCACTTAATCAAGCCCAGGCAACATTTTTTGGTATCACTGTGATGTCTTTTTTCATCTCATCCCCAGCCTGTGAGCAGACCAGCCTTAAGCTGCCCTTAGCCCAGTCAGTGTTGAAGTATGTTCTTCTATGTACCCATCAGCAACCACCAGGATGATAAATCTGTTAAACTTTACCACAATTAGTTTGGAAGCAAAGACAGGTCTAATAGTCGTTAAAGGTGCACTGGTAGTTTCAAGGTAACCCCTTCCCTTTCAGTTAATCCTATCAATAAGAACTTGGCTGTTTTGTGCATAAAGAGCTTGATACAGTACTAATGCGTGAATCTTCTTTTGACTTTGAAGAAGAAAGGTAAAAACGAAGTTCCTAGCACAAGGGTTGTTTTTGCCTTCCTCTAGAAATGCAACTCTAGTTGGATGCATATGATCCCCTACCCACAAGCGCATGAATGCTTAAATAGCACCATAGTGGTTGTCATTTAGTATCCTTTATGGCATGGTAGAAGTCACTGGCAGCTGGTAATTTAAATGACAGTCTATTAGAGTTACACAATAATGGTAGGTTACTCAGCCAGCATTATTGTGTTTTAACTCTGCAGCCCTTACCAGTTTAGGTCAAGGCTAAAATATTGTAAGAATGGATTTCTCATTGTTTCCTTAATGGAGCTTGGAAGAATATGAAAGTCTGCTTTTGTTGCAGATATAAAGAAAGGAAAGGAAGAAGAAAGAAAATAAAGACGTTGCTTGTGACTCATAAACCTTCTGCAGGTCCACGATTGGTGATTCTCCAGGATGTTCAGTTTCTTAGTGTCTTCTTTAGGAAGCACTCATGTTAACAGCTGTTTTCTTTTAGTCCTGAAAATAAAAAGCATTCTAAGTCTTTTACAACAGTATATCCTGGTGGGCACATTCAGTTCCATACTCATATTCTGAAAGAGCGCTTGCACCAATATTTTTAGTTACTATACCAATATTGCTAAGCAACCATCTTAATGTTAAATTTTTAGGGCACTTTGTCTTCTATTTGATCCACACAAATGCATATGTAGAAGAAATGAGTTAATTCTCGGAAGAATGACAAATAATTTAGTTGCTGCCAAGGACAGCATATTTTTATCAGATATGACAGTTTTAGCGTGTCTGACACATGGTTACATGGCTGGCAAACATTTCAGTGGTGGATTAAATACTTAAAATAGTTCCACCTCCCCCCATCCCTGCAGTTCTGTAAAAAGTTCTCTAGCTAGAATGTTGAAAGTCCTAAGCAGTTTAAACTTATATAAACCAAAATCAAGGCATTTCTTATATTGTATTTTGATTTCACCTTCTCACTGAGTGATGACTGAGTATATGATCATTATCATCATCATCTTTTGAATTTATATGCTTCCAAATCTAATCCAGAAATCAAGAGCATCAAGAGAAATTATAGAGCAACAGTTAAAACACCTATAGCAGTGGTAGCGAACCTTTTAGAGATCGAGTGCCCAAACTGCA